CCAGCGGTCACTCTTTCAGGAATGAAGATGTTCACATCCTGGACAGAGAGGAACGATGGTTTGAGAGAGGAGTAAAGGAGGCCATCTTTGTGAAAAGAAATCGTCCATCATTAAACAGGGGTGGAGGCCTCCGGGTTCAACTGTCCCCCTCTTACAATGCTGTGATTGCTAGTATCACTCAGCCCTCTGTGAACAGTAAACAGCCATCAGTGTGCTAATGATCCATTGTTAGGCTGATGGTCCTTCTTGAGCATGTGATCAGTTGGTTTTGGTTGTCAGCAGCAAAACTGGTTGATCCACTCTGAGAAGGTGCTATTTAAGAGACTGAGCTGAATACAGCACCTCAGACTGAGGAAGTCTCTTGGATGAGAGACGAAACATTTCTACATTTTTTGTTGATTTGCTTTGTTTTGTTTTTTTGAATGTCCAGAGGACCAGATTTAACTTTTTTAGATTTTTCTACCTGAATTATTGAGCATGCATCAGGATGTTGCTCTCTAAATTGCACAGTTTAATTTCAATGTAATTATCTTGAGAAAAATGAACAGAAAGCAAAATTTGTAGCATAGAATGCTAACATTTTCTCTATAGTTAAATGCTATTACTTGTTTAAATTAGATTTTTGTTCAAAGTACTGATGAATACTCTGACACACAATCTTGTAGCTTCACATAAATTCTAAGAATAACGTTGAACTGCTTAATTCTTCTTCATGAAACTTTATAAATGCTTTTTAAACCTACTTTTTTAACTTTACCATGAAAAGTAATGTGCCTACAATTTTAAGTACTGATTGAACAGCTGAACAATTTGTATCTTCAGCTAATAGAACACATTTTGAAAGAAGTCATTGAAAAGTCTAATCTATGCTGTTGACACTACAGCCTGTATCTCATTAAGCTGCAAACTTTGGTGAACATCATTTGTAGGGGAGCCTCCAAGATGTCTCAATGTTTGTAGGGACTTTGTCTTTGTTTTTGAGTATGTTCAAAAAATGTGTGCACCAATTCTTTCCATAAAATAGTCACTACGGTTTGCAGGCACCTTGAACCCTTCTCAGCTTTGTTTCTGTAAATTTAGGACCACTAAAGCTGTATTTTGGCACATGCACAGGTGCTTTCCTGATAAAATTAAGCATCTGAGGTGTCGGCTCTGAATGACCATGAAAAGGTCTATGGAAAATTAATTCTTATAAAATATGTCATTGGTCAAGTTAGATACAAAGTGGACTGAGGTGTGTGGGGCAGAGTTGGGCAACAAGCGGTTTTGCAAGCTGCACATACAAAACTAGGTTGTGATTTTCAAAATATACTGTGCAAAACACGACCACTTGGCTCACTGGTCTTTAGTCTTCTATTATTTACAATCCAGTCAAATTCTACATTAGTGTTCAGACTGTACAAGAAAAAGGTCCAAATCTTCTTCCAGGTTGCAAAGATGTTTGACATATTTTGCTTCTTGTTCAAGCTATTTTTGGGATAAAGACAGATGACAGGTGGACAACTAAATCCTGGCTTCATCTTTATTAATGAGGATATTGTTCCGGTCTGTCATGGTGAAGGAGCAGCTGAGACAGAGAGCAATACTTTCAGTTTATTGGTTTGTCTATCAAGACCCGCAGAATAAAATCTCATGTTCAAACAGCTGAAATGAGATTTCTCCGTTGGGTGGTTACCTCTACAGTATGCCACCAGCATTGGTGGCATAGAGGTTAGATAGGGTGGGCCTGTGATTGGAAGGTTGCCAGTTCAACTCCATGTACCAACAACATCAAAATGTGTGTGGGAAAGGTAAAACATCCACCCCTGCCTCTGCCCTAAGTTGACCCTCTATGGCTCCTTGAGCAAAGCTCTTAATCCCCACCATCTACTCCCAAACAGGTCTCTCTTGAAAATGAGTCATTTTGACTCAGTGAGACTACATCTATAAATAAAGCTTAAATAAAATAATAATAATAATAAAAAAAACACTTTTAGATAAATTAAGGAGCTTAATCCTGTGGAAAGGTCCTCCATATCAAAATAAAATCATCTGATGGGGTTCAATAATCTTATTAGAATTCAACAGGAGGATCTAGAGATAAGAGAGTTGTCTGGGTTTCCCCTTCCAGACCTGATACCTCCACAGCCCGGCTACAGGAAAGTTGAAGAAAATGAATGCGTAAATAGATATAATTTGAATTCAACCTGTATTTATCCAGGTTAGTCTCATTGAGTCACAAGGACTCATTTACAAGATAGACCTGTTTTAGACAGGCAACGTATAAAGTATGTAGTGAACTAAGCCTCAGGTCAAATCTGGCCCTGAGGGCCTTCCTGAAACAAGAACTGTCATTTCATTGATTTGAGTCCAGAAACACAAAACCAAGTCCATCCAGAGACTTTCTAAGTGTGTCCTGCAATGATCAATTGAAAGAACACTCTCTTTTTCTATTATCATTACTATCTTACAAATGTCTTGATAATCAAAGTGTGTTTAATTCAAATAATTTTTAAATGTTGAAGTGAACTACTTATTTTAAATCAACTGTGAAACAGTATTAATGATTTTTAATCCTAATTCAAAGTAGAAATCTAGTTAATGTCTGTTACAGAGTAATTATTCATTTTCTTGATCTTCTGTCTGAAATGAGCAAGTTGTAAGTCGGTCAAACGTCGGAGACAAACGCAAACAAGTTTGTTGGAACGAACTGTCATGTTTTTAAATCCTCTCAGACGTAAATAGAGAAGCTGGCACCTGTTTCCTCCCAACTCGCCTAAACATTTCTCTTGTCTGTCTCAAAAACATTTTCTGTCTGTTCCAAAACATTTGTTCTGTTTTTCTGACTTCTAGTGACCTCTTACGTCACAAAAACACACCCCTTGTTGGCTTTTTCAGCCAATCAAGACTTCCCAAATGAACCGGAAACAGAACTCTTTAAATGTCGACACTTCCTAGTTCCAACGAGTGCGGTGGGAGAGCAGTTCAGTTCGGAGAGCAGCACCGAACAGGAAAGTTGCTGGGGAGAACAGGAGGTTCCAGACATGATCCGAAGTTCTTCCGAGTCTTGTGGGAATTATGCAATCTTCCACATCTGAGTGGAACTCTGACGGACTCACAACTCATGTGAGTCCAACCGAGAGGTGAACGTGTGTCGAACGAAGTACCGTCACTACTCCGGACGTTTCCCAACCATCCTATGGAGACGCTAGAAATGGTAGCATTAAATGGAACTCCGTACCAGCTGATTCATCTTCAGAGAGGTAACGAGTCGATTTCCTACTGAAGCGTACTGAGATGAAACTGGGTTCGAATGGAGAGTGCCGTTCTTATACCGACACATTTTCCCTCACACACATTTTCTCTCCACTTAACTCCTTCATTCCCCATCTTTAAACTCTTCTATCTTGCCAGTAATTAATCCAGATATTTTCAGAAATGTCTGTTGTAGAGCTTGAACCCAGATACCATGGCTGTATGGTCTCTGACGTAGAGCTAATTAATTAAGCTGTTGTTGAAATCAATTTGCCAAATTAATGTAAATGTGTGATGTTAAACTTTGATTCTGTTAATAAATGACTGCATTCATTTGATGGGTCAAAGAAAATTAACGTCTCACGTCACATTTAATTTCAATGCACGATATTATTCAGTCCAGAAAAATGAATGAATCCGTTTAATTTATGAATATATCACAGATATATGTTCATCTACAAGTACAGACAAGAATAAACTACAGTAAAATGCAGTTAAAATAAAAGTAGTGTTCTAAAACAATAAATCAATGTGCCATATAAAAAAGGTAAAATACTAACAACAAGAAAAAATATGCTTTGATGTTTCTATTGTCTTTATCAAATGTTTAAAACCCCTTAAAGAAATTAAGGTGGACAACTTCAGTTCTTGTTGCAAGGTGTTCCAGGTTACAGGAGCAGAGTTGAAAAGGGCATTTTTACCAAGTTCAGACTGCAATGAGGGAACGCTGCAGGTAATGATGTCTTGAGAGCGCATGTTGTAACTGCACTGACAAAGTGACTTGTGGGAGGAGATACTGTATATGAAGGCAGCCGACTAAGGAGTGATTTAAAGATGAAAATGTACCTGTGTGAGAGCCTACATGAAGTTAATGATGACCAGTTTACCAGTGAATACAAAGTGCAATGATGGGTATGGTAGTTATAACCAGTTATAAATCTTAGCATGCCATGGTAGACATCATCCAACATCTGCAAGCTGGCAGGGGCATTCATGTAAATAATGGTAAATGATAAATGGACTGTACTTATATAGCACCTTTCTAACTTATGAAGATACTCAAAGCTCTTTACACTACAATCTGTGCCTCATTTACCTACATACAGCACTCTACTAGATCTATATAAAGAATAATCAGTGCTTTATCACATTCATACACTGATGGGGCACACATCAGAGGCAATGAGGGGTTCAGTGTCTTGCCCAGGGACACTTCGGCATGTGACTGATGGTGGAATCGAACCCCCAACTTTTGCATTGGAGGACGACTGTTCAAACCGCTCAGCCACAGCTGCCCCTGTCACCGTAGTCACTATGGTGACAAAAATGTAAATAATGTCATCATAGTCAACAACTGGTTGGAAAGTAGCAGTTTACAAGGTGTTTTCTGGCATTCAGAGTTAATCGAGATCTATTTCTGAAAAAGAAACTCAGTTCATATTTCAGTTTTTTTATCAAGTTTTTGATATGCGGTTTAAAAGAGAGATGTGCATCAACCAAGTTTCCAGGTATTTGTAAGAATCCACAAACTCAATAGGAACACCATGCATGGATGAGATAGGAAGGAGAGTTTCTGGCACTAACTTTCTGCAACATCCATTTAGTTTTATCAGCATTTAGCAACAGTTTGAGATGGAATAAGTCTGTATCATCTGCAATTATTTATGTAAGAGAGAAATATTAAACTGAAGACCAACAGAAATTCAGATGATGTGTTGATTCTCACTGTTGAATTTCTTGTCAAATTCTAGGATGACAGCACTCACCGATGTATAGAGGTATCCTTCCCCATTCATGGCGAGGTACAGCCCTGTTTTTGTCCCTTGAATTGCCACAATCCGTAGTCCCACTGGAATTAGGTTGAACTGTGCTAAATTGGGGAAAAAAGTACAAGAGCGAGAATGACTAAAGGAGCTAGAAATTTTTTTTTTTTTTTTGCATTAAAAACAAGTGTCCATTGAAATGCATGATGTCCTGGCCTGATGCTGCTTATGAACATGCTTCAGCATTAGTATTCAAACTGCTGAAATTTAGGCTTGAAAGCATTTTGAACTAATATGCATCTGCACTGAAGGTGCACAAGAAACAAGAGTCATAAAATCATCTCCTGATGGTCATGAACTGTTAGAAATTTAAATGGTGGTAATAGGATGATGTGATCTGAGAAGTTAAAAAATGATGGAAGACATATACCAAATATTAATAACGTTAATATTTAAAGATGTATATATTTTTTTTCAAGCACAATATTTAAAACATACTCCATCTTGTTCAATGCTTGACCTTTACTGAGGTGGGATCTGAACCCATTGTCTGGTTGGCAGGCAAGCACTCATCCTATAACTGTGCCTTCACTCAGAAAGAATGCAGTCGTGGTTGGGGTTTATAGATGAATTGATTGATTGATTGATTGATTGCTTGTTTGATTGTTTGACTGATTTATTGATTGTTTTGTTTATGTAAGGCATGCTCATCCCTTTTGTTCACTTGCTGCATTGTCAAAACCATAACTGAGGTGTCCAGAGAATGGACCATGTGGAAAAATAAATAATACGAATTCCTAAATAATGTGTTTGCTTTATATTTTTACTGGGTAATTCATTACCTCAAAAACACCATCTTAAATTTGCTCTTGTGCAAATGAAGCTTCTTTGAAGCACTGAAGATGTTTTTAAATTAAGGGTTCATTACATGAAACTTTGTGGCACAGTCTTTTTTGGCACCATCTGGTGGCCAAAAGTATAAAGATCAGCTTGAAGCCACAGCTTGAAGCCACAGCTTGAAAAGAGGTGTTTCATTCTGTTTGCCCAATGGACTGAGCTGGCAGCTGTTGATAAAAACCCTGAGACATTTCTATCTAATATCATTGTCATCATCATTGTGATGCTTTGAACATTTTTTTTGTGTGGGTGTGTGGGCGAAAGTATAAAGTTATGGTTATTTGATGATTAAATAACTTGTGGAATAAACTTGTTTAAAACGTATGTCAAACTATTAGAAATGTAAATGGTTCAAATAAGATGAAGTAAACGTAGTATTAAAAACATTTGGAAGACTAAATCCTAATGTATGAAGATGTAGAAGCAGTTTGAAGCATGCGATTTATCCAATTTGCTCCATGTTTGGCCTGACTGAGGTGGGATTTAAGTAGTCTGGTTGGCTCATTCCTCTCATCTATTCCTTCAGTAAGCTAGCAGTCGTAGTTTAGTTTTTTGTGTGTGAGGCCTGCACACCTGTCCTTTAACCAGAGCGGTTAATTCACTTGCTTTAAGACTGAGGACACCAAACTTAAAAGCTCTGCTCAAACTATGCTAACTGGGATTGAACCATGAGTGAAGAAAACATTTATTAAATAATTTTATAAGTATGTAAACTAATAAATAACTACTGCTAATTAGTTTTTTAAATGTTAGTTTTGAATTTGTAACATCATTACAAATTGCTCAAATTGCTACAAATTTCTAAGTGTTTTGCCAAGATGGCCGCGCTCACGGAAGCCGCAGCTTCACTGGCTCCTGGTGAGATTTCAGTTTTCAGAAGTTTTGAAATTGACTCTGAGCCTGTCTCCATACGTGTGTGAATTATAGCTGAACCTAACTGATGAGTATGAGAGGATTTACAAGGAATACAGCAGCGATCAACAACATCTTAAAACTACGCTTGGCAGACTACAGCTCTTAAAGTCATCTGCGTGTAGGAAGTAGCTGAGGCGCTCAAACGGAAAGAAGAGGCACTGTGCCCCGTTGAAGAAGAGAGGTTGCCGGGCAGGGGTATTAGTAAGGCTGAAAGCTAACGCTAAGGCTGGCAAACTTCCGATAGCCTCTCTATTTCTGTTGAACATCTGCTCTTTGGATATTAAGATGGATTTGCTTTGATTGAGAGTGGGTGCCTGAGCAGAGATGATGAAATGTGCTGTACGTTTTCTGACAGAATCATGGCTTAACAGCAACATGCCGAATTCCGTGTTCCAGCCGGAGGACAGACTTTTTTTTAACGATTGGACTGTTGCAGCAAACTAACGGGGAAAACAGGCAGAGGGGGAGTGTGCGTCTACGTAAGTAAAAGTTGGTACAAAAACTGTACTCTGATAAACAGCTTTTGCTTCAAGGCTTTGGAGCAGCTAACAGTGAACTGTCGACCACATTCCAACATTTTTCAGTCAGGTCATCTGGACAGTTTCATTTTTTTGTGCTGAAACGTTTCTCTTTCAGTCCGGAAGGCTTCATCAGTCAAGGAAACACACAACACAAAACTGATTCTTCCCCCAACAGCTTACTCCAAAGTGGAACAAACCAGTTATGTTGGTGCTAAGATGGTGTATTTGACACGCCCCATCCTCCATTGCCGGTCCTCTTCCTTGTTGACAGTCGTGTCAAACCAGTTGAAAACAACAAAGTCCATGCTCAATAATCCACACCATTTTAGCACCAACATAACTGGTTTGTTCCACTTTGGAGTAAGCTGTTGGGGGAAGAATCAGTTTTGTGTTGTGTGTTTCCTTGACTGATGAAGCCTTCCAGATCGAAGGTGAAATGTTTCAGCACAAAAAAAGAAACTGTCCAGATGACCTGACTGGAAAATGTTGGATTGTATACCTGGATTATTGAGCATGGACTTTGTTGTCGACCACATTATTTACCCCGCGAGTTTATGGCAGTGCTCATAATAGCTGTTTACATAGCCCCGGATGCTAATGCTAAAGACACCCTGCTGGAGCTGCATGATAAAATTAGATCGTTGCAGAACAAACACCCTGAGACATTTTACATTTGGTGGCTGGTGACTTCAACCACGTAAATCTGAGGGACGCTCTCCCAAGACTTTTATCAGCATGTGACCATTCCTACATGAGGAAACAACATGCTGGACCGTGTTTACACCAACATACGAGATGCATACAAAGCCACACCCCACCCCTACCTCTGACTCTCTGACCATATCTCCATCTTTCTGACCCCTGCTTACCTCCCCTCACTGAGATGCTCCAGACCAACACAAAGAATAGTCAGGGGATGGGTGAGAATCAGTAACTCCATACTGAAGAAGTGTTTTGCGTGTACAGACTGGCAAGTCTTCAGAGAAGCTGCTGTGGGGGTGGGGGGTGGGGGGAGCTAGGCCTGGAGGAATACACATCCTTGGTCCTGGGACACATCAGCAAGTGTGCTGATGATGTCACCATAACCAGGACTGTGAAGAGCTATCTGAACCAGAAACCCTGGCTGAATACAGAGGTCTGCACCCTGCTGGAAGCCAGGGACACTGCCCTCAGGTCTGATAACTCATAGGAGTTGAGAAGGACAAGGAAAGAGCTGGTTGCTGGTATTGAAACGGCCAAAGCCACATATGCATGGAGGATCCAGGGTCAATTCTCCTCACAAGACCAATGGAGCATGTGGAGGGGCATTACATGCATAACAGATTATAAGGGCAGGGGTGCACAATGCCCTAGGGACTCATCACTGCCTGTTGTCCTCAACAAGTTCTACATGTTTTGAAGACCCGAACAGACCACCCAGCACCAGACTCGACTTACCACTGGAAGAGGAGCTTCTCAGCGTGACCTCAGCTGAATTGAGGAGTACTTTCAGGAGGATTAATCCTCACAAAGCAACCGGCCCAAACAACATTCTGGGGAAGGTACTGAAAGACTGTGCCGATCAGCTCTGCCAGGTGCTGGCCAACATCTTTAACTCCTCACTTACCCTGGCAACAGTTCCCATCTGTCTGAAGACTGCTACCATCATTCCATATCCAAAGAGCTCTGCAATGACTGGTCTGAATGACTGTTGGCCAGTAGCCCTCACCCTGATAGTCGCTAAATGCTTCGAAAGACTGATCATGACCCACATCACAACAATCATCAACATCAGCAAGGAGCCTCACCAGTACGCATAACGCAAGAATCGATCAACAGAGGACACCATCTCCTCTGTGGTCCAAACTACGCTCACCCACCTTGAGCAGAAGGACTCCTACATCCGTATGCTTTGTGTGGTCTTCATTTCTGCCTCCAACATCATGATTTCCCAGACCCGGATGGACAAACTACTCATACTAGGACTAAGCCCCTCTATATGCAGCTGGGTCCTGGACTTCTTAATAAACAGACTGCAGTCTGTGAGGATCCACAACTTCTCCTTTATCATAACCCTCAGCACTGGCTGCCCTCAGGGCTGTGTATTGAGCCCTGTGCTGTTCACTCTGCTCACATGACTGCACACCAACTCATTCAGGCTATAATACTGTAAAGTTTTCAGACGATACAGTGGTGGTTGGATGCATCACAAACAGTCCATCTGCAGGCAGGAGGGGGAACACCCGGAGAGCTGGTGCAGGAAAAACAAGCTTTACATCAATGTGAAGAATATGAAGGAGATGCTCGTCAACTTCTGATGGAACAAACTCACCTACCCCCCACCCCCCACCCCCCACTCCCAAATATAGGAGGATCTACAGTGGAAGTGCTCTCCAGCTACAAGTGCTTAGGTTTGCACCTGAATGACAACCTCCACTGGGGCAACAACACTACCAGCCTGATCAAAACGGCTCATCAGAGACTATTTCCTCAGGCGACTGAGGCGAGCTGGTCTGGGAAGCTCAGTCCTCACCTCCTTCTACAGGTGTACAGTGGAGAGCATCCTGTGCTCCAGCATCAACGTGTGGCATGGAGCCTGCACAGCTGCAGAAATAAAAGCTCTGCAGAGAGTGGTGAAGGCTGCACAGAAGTCTGTTGGAGTCAGTCTCCCCACCACCACAGACATCTACACCTCAAGATGCAGGAAGAGGGCCACCTGCATCATGAAGAACCCCACTCACCCAGCACACACAATTTTTGCCCCGCTCCCCTCAGGAAGGAGGTTAAGGAGCATT